TTAAAAAACGTACAGATGTACACATAAACTTTTGTATTCTGTTTAAATGTTTTTAAGTCTTGAACTAAATATTTACCGTATATCAAATTACTTGGGTTAGATTTGAGATTAGTATTAAAATAATCAGTTGTAATTGACAAATAAATTTTGCGATGCAAAACAACTGCAGACTATATAAAGAATGTTTATTAGAACTAGATAGACAATTTTCAGTTATATCTTATGAAGCCGTTATAATTATACTTTAGACCCCCCCCATTTCAGCCGCGCAAATACCACTCTTTTCCACTTGTGATATTTTCCCTGACCAATATCTGATCAGCACGCACTAAGTGTATCGATGCGCTAGACTGTACGGAGTAGATACAGTGTGTTTATTGATTTTTTATGGAGTTTATTTCTTTTTTGTGATGCATATTTCAATAAATGGAATTCAGGGTGTATATCACTTGACTTGTGCACATCTTCGAACCGATGCAGTGATCTTATAACCAGGTATGGGTACGTTTACAGCGTTCGACACGTTTTCTCGACATGCATCAAAGTCTGCATAAAACCTGCAAATCAAAGACGCTGATTGTTTTGTTCCATTCAAAAGATAATAATTTCAAAGTGTGTTTACGGGTTTTAGTGCTTTCTATTTCATGTTTATTCTGCATAAATTGGCGCAGTGTACAAATGCGTACTCGTGCAACTAAATCTTTCTTTCAAACTTGCATTTTCTTTCTTTTTTTTATTTCATTTGATTCAAATCTATAATTATTCAGAAATATGATTATTATGTTGTGTGGTTTTGAAATGTCTTGATCAACCCATGTGTTTTCAAATGTTTTACCATTGGAGATGTGCACAAGTCGATAGCCAAGCCAAAAAATCATTCAAGTGTAACGAGGGCATTTGGGTATATATCGTTACAATAAGACAAGGTACTGTATAGGGGATTAATTTCACGGGTTGTAATTTTCACGTTTTCCTCTCATCTGACATGATCGCGGTTTCTTGAATTCGCGGAATTGGTATATAATAAAAGTTACCTCCCTTGCCTATATTCGTTTAATACGACATTCATCAGCGTTATTTTTATTTCACGAACAAAAGGGTAGGTTTATATAAAATTGATAGAATTAATTAATAGTTAATTAAAACAAGTGCAGTTATTAAAAGTCCTTCACTCTAAACGTCAAATGACTTTCCTATACGCTATTACGATGAGTGCATGTGCACCCACTTCAATACAACGCCGCGAAAAACTACTGGACGGAAATAAATGCGTTTATGCAATTCGCCGAAACGATATCCTTCCAATCTTCAGTATGTTCGATATTTATTTGAATGATTTCTTAAAACCAAAATGTTGATAAAAACTAATTGCATGATAATGCAGGTAACAAATACACGTGGTAAAATTAGTTACGCGCGGGTAATCAAACCCCTGGCCCATGTGTTTTGATTGATTAAACATGAAGCGTTGGCTATCAAAACAGCTTTTGAAGTTATTATCTGCCTATCTGAATTAAGGTTAAGCGTGATAATTAAAATAATTGAATGATGAGTACTACTCGTAATTACTGAAACGACCATGTTCTGTACGTACATGTATATCAACCTGTCGTAGTCAACCTATCGTAGCTAGTCTATTCTCAAATTTCCAAATAAAACGTGGAGATTATTGAAAATATATTCACTATTTCTTGAATTCACGGATTTATTAACACCGTGAATATAGCGAATATTAACACCGCGGGTTATTTTCCCACTATACAGTATCTGAAAGAAATATGGCGGAATACGGCTATAGTTGGTATGAAACAAGTCGTACATAAATGAAGAAGTTGCGTTTTTAAGAATTCATGTCAGCTTTAATTGCATGTACCTTGACTGGCTTTGCATTCTTTACAACAGGGATACCGTCAACCAATTAGCCGTGCTTCACTGACCACATGCACCTGTGGCGGTATTATCGAGATAATTGACACTTAAAAATGGACGTTTGTTGTGAAAACAGGGTGGCGGATGGCGGTATGCGAATTTGGCGTTATAAAGAGAATTTTATATACCAGGAAAAACGTTCTTGGGAAATCATGGCGGTATTGCGAAAATGGCGATAATTCGAGAATTGACTGTAATTGTTAGTCCATTATTTGTACACTGAATTAACGACGGATTTTTCCGTTATTTCCCGAACATGACAAGGATCACAGTGGGTGTGACCGGTTGGCAGGGGATGCTCACTCCTCCATGGCACCTGATCCTGCCTATGATGTTTTCGAGGTCCGTGTTTGCTCTGCTCCTATTTTATATTGTTTTATGGACTTTTGATCTTGAATACTGATCGTTATCTCTAAATGTTTCATATATGTATATTCAGTAAACATTTACTGGAACTTGCTTTGTATTTTTGTTTACGGGGACGTCTATGAAGTTAAGATTCAATTTGATTGTTGGGAATCGAACCTGATGCTACAAGAAAATCTAGCCGGGGCTTGAAAATAGTGGTGAAGCAAATGATAACGGTAGGAGTTATGAACAAATAAAATGTGCATATTTACAACTGAAATTATCATGACAACGAACTCAAATTACAATTTTTATAAAGTAATAAACTTGCTAAAAGAAAATGTTATTAATGACGATGGTAATTTAGATATTAGTATGATAAGGAAGTAAAAGTGTTGGCTTGAATTTGTACCCAATAGCTTTTTAAAGCGTGTGGATTTATAAATATATTTTTAATCATAATCTTTTATATTAACTTCTTTGTACCGCTGGTCTTACTTGGGCCTATTTTTGATTATATTGTACAATGTTATAGACCTATATAACATGTAGATTTGTGTACATACGAGGGTGAAATGCTAATTTTTACTGCCGACAAAACCAATAAGTGAGCACATTTGCTTCTTTTATTCTTGATGTAAATCATGTAAATGGAAGCAGAAAATCCGTGGTATCAAAAGTAATAATATAGTACAGCAGATATCAAAAAAATTCTATTACAAGTAAAAAGAAGGTGTCAATTAATGAGTATCCATAGTAAAGTATGTACGGCATAGTACAACAGATATCAAACAAAGTTGCTTTATAATACGTTGGAATAAAACGCTTATCAGAGCGACACTTCTGAAGTAATCAAATAAGGATGTGTATATCTACTTCTGTTCCTAAACTACATGTAATTATGGGTTTTTGAAGTATTTCTTCATAACATAAGCCAACTGTAATTTAAAATTGTAAGATACTTTTTGGAACAAATCTGCCAGCAGTGAAAAAAAGTATGTTCCCCCAAGCTTTCGCTGGATTTCAACTGATGGCTTAAAACAATTTTTTTCATTTTTACAGCGACTGTCTGATTCAAAATAATAATCCTTATGACATAATTATTTCGGAAATCAAATGTTAAAATGAAAATTCCTGTGGATAACACGACTAACAAAAATTGCATTACTTTACACAAGTATATCAGCACCTTAAGCAACTATAATTTTATTTCAATGTTGATGTTCTTGATTGTATACTTATATTTTTTTTAACAAAATGATTTTGCAAATGACAAGGTATGTTAACTTACGACTTCCAATCTATAGTTGAAAAATCAGCTGTCCATGGTGTCAAAAAGAATAAAATTCAAAGTTAGTTTTGAAGTTTAAACATCATTCTTGATAATAAACATCTGGTTAACATTACTTCGAGGATATGTTGTTGTAAAGTATACAGGGTATAAGTTTACTGAATTCTACTAATTTTTTTCTTTCACTGCTTGTTGAGTAGTAAATAAAGAGTTTTAGGAGAACATTTACTGGAACCTGCTTTGTATCTTTGTTTTGGGGGGTATGGGCATCTCGATGAAGTTTGGATTCAATTTGAATTTTGGAAATATCACGGGAATAACGTGAAATGATTTTTTATTTACCTTCTTACAAAGGGAACTATGAGTGTAAGTAGGATCATCATATTGAACTTTTCCAATGTGGTGGCTTATATATAGAAATTCACCAGCATAGTAAATCTCCCATCTGTAATATCATATAAATAAGTTCGATTGTTATTTATTTAATTGACATTATTCTCTTTATAATTAATGTTTACCATTATCATTGTCAAATAATTTTTCGGAATTTCATCTCTGTGAAATAAATCATTATCAAAGATACTTTTTAAGAAACTAAAGATTAATCCATGATTCAATGTTTTAAGCCATTTTTTAACCTCAATGCATTTTTTTTCATTACATAAACTTGAGTATACTGTATAGCCATCCCTTTCGCTACAGTTACGTAAAAATTTAAATTCTCAATCTTGTTTTTTAAACATGTTACAAGTAACTGTATTTGTCGACAATATTTCTTTTTTTAAAAGTATTTTAAAAATAATTTATTTACGCATGTTTTTGATATTCGAATTATATTCTATCCGGATTTTAGCGGAAATTTTGATAGGGCCTATATAATTTTGGGGGGAAATCCGATGGATTATTTCCTAAGCATTGATGTATCAGGAATGTACATGTAGCATCGTTTTGAAAGATAGGGGTGGGGCAGAGAAATAAATCAACCTACCTGAAAAAACTTGACAAGCAAAAAAGTCTTAAATTCTAAACCCCTATTTCGTAAGGGGGTGTCGTTTGCGGTTCGAAGAATATTAAATTTTTATTCATTTGTTGTCGTCGATGGATTCTTTGACACGTCAAACCTAATTTTTAAGCATTTACCTAAGTAGGCTTTTTGTATGCAATGATTTTCTGATAGTTAACTTATAAAACATTCACACAACTATACTGAAATGTAAACTAAATTTAGGGGAAACAATAATGCTGGTTTTTGTGTATATATATATATATATATATATATATATATATATATATATATATATATATATATATATATATATATATATATATATATATATATATATATATATATATATATATATATATATTGCTTTTCTTGTTTTTTTTTCTGAATCCACCAATAAGTCAAAATTAAAGCAAAGCTGCTACTCACCTTGTCCAAGAGACACTAACTGAAGAAAAAACAATGAAAGTACCGACAAGATAGGCCATAATGTCCCCATGTTTATATCAAACTTGTTTTGGTGTTGATGTGCATAGAACAAGGAAGCAAGCGTTTCTTTTATATACGACACTTTTACTATGCGACACTTGATTTTACTAATATTTAGGCTATCATAGAACAAGGATCAATTTCTATCGACACAGGAGTCAAGAAGGAAGTAAGCTTTTAACCAATTTTTCAATTAATCAAACGCGGTATCCTACTTATCATCTTCGCTAGCCAAGTGTCTCTGATCCACTTCTCTTTTCACAACTCAAGGGATGGTGAGAAGAGGATCGGAAAACCCGTGCAATTTGGCTGGCGAAGATAATCATTTCGTTTACATTTTTATTTCTTAGTCCTATATATTTACCTATATTTAAATTAACATTTTTATTCGAATTTTACAAAGATTATGGTATTTTATCTGCATGCACATTTTCTTTTATAAACTTATTGTTTATTTTCCACCTGTCATTTATATTGTCCGTCGCCTTCACCAAAGCAGACATTAAACATCTCGTTCGTCTGTCAGTCTGTCAGAAAAAAAATTAACCTGCTTCATACTTTTGAGTGAATAAAGATAGGTTTTTAATATTCCATAGGTAGATTACTTGTAACAAGACCTTTCCCATTTCACTGTACATCTAATATATGAATGGCGACCTTTCTGCACGTAAAAAAAGAAAATGTTATGTGTTTGATTTCTAAAACACAATGTATGTTTCTTAAATTTGAGCTAGGTTTACTTTATCCATTAGATGGCGCTTACTTCATACCAACTAAATGACCAAGTCAAGTGTTGAATTTCAAACATTAATATAAAGTAGAGAATTAATTGTTTCATTTTCTAAACAAACAATTAATGTAAGTGTCTAAGTTTTCAAAAGCAACTTTTTTAGTTTAGCAATGATCTTGAATTTTTAAAGAAATGGTGTTCACTGTTTTTAAATTAATAAAAAAAATTGTCGGTAAATAGTAAATTTTGAGCAGAGGAAATCGTTACTCAGAAGCTGCGAGATCGGGAGGTCGTGTGTTCGAACCCCGACTGACTAAAACCCCTGTTACACTGCTCATACGTAGAGCATGGTCGTGCGTATCGAATCAACTGAGATATATAAACTCAGTACACAGGTGATGAAGGTATTTTGCTGCATAAGTAATAGAAGATGACGATAGAAAAGTTAGTCATCACGTTTATCATAGAGCTTGGTTGCTAGACCATTAACGTCTTTTTCAAGTAAAATATCCAAATATGAAACAGATGTATCAGACTCTGTTATCTTTTATCTCAAGCTCACCAGGATATATCGTATCGACATAAGCGTCGAAATTACCGTTGTTAATTGACAATTGGTCGTCGATATATTTAAATGTGTCGAATTAAAGGCAACAGCAAGTGTTCTCATCTTTTCACGCATAAGATTTTGCACAAATTCTGCTTTATAATATGAATTTAAAAATAGTTCTGCTAATAACGGGTCGCAATTGTTATCCTTGGATTCAATAGATAATTGGTACACCTGGTTTCAAAAAACAA